GCAAACCTAAACTTGTGCCCTTGACCCTGGACATGTGCCCTTGACTGTAATCAAACCCGGGACCCTTTAGTCGGCAAGCCGGCACTCTATCCACTGAGCAAAACCAGCCAGGGCCCCTTGGAGACATTTTAATCTGCTTCAGTAGTGCCTGTCATTCAAAGCCTGGGTTTGGGTAGCACACACACCTGGGTTTAATTCCAGTGCCATCACATCAAGTTGGGGGATCCTGGCCACATACCGGAACCTCAGTTTTCTCAACTGAAAAATGGGAACAAAGTCACTTCCCAGAGTTACTGTGAGGAGCAAATAAAATAGTGCCTGCAGCCTGCCCTGGCACAGGGTGAGCCTGTGACACACCAATGAGCTGAACAGAGGCAGGTTGGGAGGTGAGCCCTCTCCTAGTACAGACACCAGCTTCACTCCCTGTCTCAGCTCTGTGATCATCTGGCCGCTACCTGGGGGACCTTTGGCATTCTCCAAATTCTGATTTCGCCTGAAAAATACTCATGTAGACAGGAGTTCAAGATTCAGTAAGGCTGGGCTGACGATCAGAGACCCTGAGTCAGCTTATTTCAAACTCCTGACCTTTAAGAAGGGTACTTTTATTTTTAGCTAAATCATCACTTTATGCCTGTAACCCACCCTGCAGTGCCTTTCAATACGCCCGAGGCCACCCTTCTTTCCTGGAGCTTAAGAAGCGGTCCTGCCTGTGTGTGGACAGGATGTGAAGGAGTCACGGGTCCCACACGCACATTGTGGCGCAGCACTGGCCCTCTGGGCTGGACCGGACCTGAGCCTGCGTGGAGGGGCAGCCTGAGGTGACCTGGGGAGCTCCTCTAAGTCCCACAGGAGACTCCTCTGCTGAGAACCGGTTCCTGCCGGTAGGAGCTAGGGCCGATGGGTGGGACGAGCTCTTGGGTCTCAGCCTAAACATGGGCCAACACCGAAACTCCCCGGGAAGCCGTCACCTTCTCCTGTCAGACAGCTCACGGGTGAGCGAGCGAGGTGCGGGCGGGCCCGGCTCGCTGCTCTTATCTCAGTTGCAACCAAGCAGGCTCTTTGGCATCACTCCCGCCCCGGGAGGCTCGGCTGCTCTAGGTGAGAGCGCAGATACCAGCAGCGACTTTCAGCCGGCACCCCATATGCCGAAGCGGGGGCAGCACGTTGGCAGCCGCCTCGCCCCGCCCTGTGCCTTGGCGTGACCCAGGAGCAGCCCCTCCTTAGGCATCTGTGACCCAGGATGTGTGTGAACCGCAGGAGCCAGGCCCTGGGGCGCCCCCCCACCCCCGCCCCAGCTGCAGGCGGCATCCTCCCTGCCTCGGACTCCGGGGTCCAGCTCCCCCTGACCTCTCACGTGGCACCATGATGGGGCATGTCCACCAGAGGACAGTCAAGGGACCCAGCCGTTCCATCTGGGGTCGGCCAGGACTCCCTCTCTTCCCTGCAGGAGACTCTCTTCTTCAAGAGAAATCCACTCCCTCGCATGACGGCCTCCCGACCACAGGGAATCCCCGGCTGTCACTGACCCCTTTTCCAGCCTCAGGGGAGCAGCTCGCAAGGAGAAGGCAGAGAGAGAGAGCTGTGGAGGCAGAGAGAGAGAGCTGTGGCAGCCGGTGCCCGCCTCGGGCTGCTCCCTGCGCCTCTCTCTCCCCTCCTTCCTTGTCTGTCTGCCTCGCTCCCTCTCACCTCCCCTCTGCCTGGTTTTGGCTTGGGAGCTGGGGTGCGGTGTCCCCAGGTCTGGGGACTTCATGCCTGCTCCGTGTTCCTGCTCCCACGTGGGAGCTGCTCTCTGAAGTCCGCACGGCCCCCGCCCCAGGCAGACCTGGTCACGGCTTACACCCAGGTTATCAGAGCAAAAGGAGGGGCTGACTCCGGGCACAGAGCTGTGGTGCTGTCTGCGGGGCTGCGCCCGGGCTGTGTGCTCCTGCTCCGACCTTCCCCTACTCCACCTGTGCCAGCGAGCCAACGGAGGCGGCCCCAGGAGCCCAGGGCTCGCGTTCACAGGGCAGTGCTGCTGTCAAGGGGGCAGCAGGGCAGAGGCTACTGGGAGGGGAATAGGGCCCAGACCCAGTTCCCACCAAGAGGCTCCTGGACTGAGAGCCCTAGAGAGGGACCCAGACCGAGCCACGCCACAGAGGGCCTGCCTCACAGCGCAGCCGCCACGCCACCGAGGACCCACAGAGACAGCCTGGCTTGCACGGCCCACTGCGGAGACCAGCAAAGAGAAGTTGCAAGTGCGGATCCAGGCTGACTCCACAGAAAGCCTCCCTGAGGGACCCCCAGCACACACAGGGCCCAGCACACACAGAGCCCAGCACACACAGGGCCCAGCACACACAGAGCCCAGCACACACAGGGCCCAGCACACACAGGGCCCAGCACACACAGGGCCCAGCACACACAGGGCCCAGCACACAGGGGGAGCGCAGCCTGAGGAGGAGAGATGACTCAGGTGACCCCAGAGGCAGATGAGCCTGCCCCGAGGATCACCTCCTTAGGGGTTCAGGCTCTGCTCTGGGCCTGGAACTCATGGGGTGAGGGGGTGTCTGGGCCTCCTCCAAGACCAAGGCCTCGGGGCAAGGCCCTCTCCTGTCCCTGGCTTTCCTGTTCTCTGCTCCATCCTCTCAGCCTGCAGAGGCCAAGAAGCCAGTCCCAGCTGCCCCACTCCCTCCCCTCCCCCACCCCAGCTGGAGGGGGTGAACCGCCCCCCCAGGAAGTCTCTGATCTTGGCCCTAAAGGACTCCCGCTGGGCCCGGGGGGCCCGGGCGGGGGCAGGGGCATTTCTGAAGTCTTGCTCCCATTCCCCCCCAGGCCTTCTTGGTGGGAAGTGAAGGAGGACAGGGCGTCTGTCCCAGGTCGGCCCGGTCCCTTGTGGTGCCACAAGGCTGGGAACAGATTTCCCCCAAACACAGGCTGATGGCAGGTGGTTTAGCTTCACCAAGCCCTTCCTGGCAGCTCCTGACACCTGGGGATCCCCTCATAGTCAACACCCCTGTTAGCCTGCCCTTCACGGGGTCCTGCGTGTTTTCAGGACTGAGACAGGCCACGGGACAGGCCGACGGGACAGGCCGACGGGACAGGCCGATGGGACAGGCCG